GGGGGGGGCAGGGGGATACACTGGGAGTCATTAAATAAGGATTAGGCCGTTCAACGGCTAAACGCGGCTTACAATAACAGCGCTGGGCGGTAATAGATCATCGCTTCTACTCAATGAGAGCTCAGCTTCTTTTATTTCTTGTCTGTATACAATGTATCCCACAAAGTTCCGGAGATTTCATTACTACGCCCTTCCCCCCCAACACCCGGGATAAAAAGAGCATTTATCTGGTGCAATCTTACAACTTCCGACCTTCTGATCACAAAGGAACTTTACAAAGCGATGTTTTTGTCATTTTCGGAAGCGTATACTTTGTGTTTTTGAGACATTAGCTGGCGGATAGACAGTCGGATGTTGTGTTGTAAAGTGTATGTCTGAGCAAAATAATAAAAAAACGTATGCAGTACACGCACATTTCCCCGCGTTTTGTCTCTTTAAAAATGGCGCACGTCACGTGCAAAAAAATACCTGATGATTCCTTTTTTGTAGTCAGCTGAGACCTATGCCGCTGCTGCACTCAAACCCATGCAGTGTTGACACCAAGGGAAACCGCCACTCGCTGCGCCCCGTGTCCGAGGGTACCGGTGGCGGCTGGATGGAGCTGGTCCGTGCCAAGCATGTGGCATAGGAAAAGGCAATGTCCGCACTCTGTTGGCTTCAACATGTAGTAAAACTATTGTTCTGAAAACTTCTGCCAATGGTGTTGCCAGTCCTGCCTACATTCTCCCCTTCTGGACTACAGAACACCCCCTCCTCATTTGCATAACACAAGGGGAAGGTGCACTTTCATCCAGGGCTGGGCTGACAACACATTGGGGTTTCAGTGCAGCATTGTCAGCTCAATACAGGAAGTTCAGAGTTTACTGGATTCGGAGGGGTTGGGGGGGCGTCTAGCGGGGACCTAATCCTTCCTCATTCACTTGACTAAACTTCCACATTAAAGCCCGACTCTGGGTACAAGTTAAGAAAAAGCCCTTGTAGTAGGGCCCACCACACTCCAAGGGTTTAATGTTCATTGGTCTAGGGCAGAGGTTTGGCCCTCCAGTTGTGGTGAAACTACAAATTCCATGATGCCTCTGAAGGTCATGCCTGTGGCTGTCTAGGCTTCCAATGCCTTTTGGGCCTTATAGTTCCACAATGGTTGGAGAACCGAAGTTGGGCTACCCCTGGCCTAGGGGGTACAAGAGGAGGAATATTACTTACCTTACCCTCTGCTCCAGTCCTCCCCTCTTCTCCCTGGCACTCCGAGTTCTGGGCGGCCCCTCAATGCCATCCCATACAATGTAATGCTATGCACTCTGCATTGTACATGGAGGAAGCGAGGGTGCGAACCCTGCATTGTATGTGGAAGAGGCCAGAATGCGACCGCAAAGGAGGAGTCCCCAGTGCTCCCCTCCTCTCCCTGGCACTCGAGTTGTGCGTGGTCTCTTTTTGCCATCGTGTATAATGCAAGGCAATACATTCTGCATTGTACATGGAGGAGGCGAGGATGTGACTGCAAAGGAGGAGCATGTGGGGCTCCCCTCCTCTCCCTGGCGCTTTGGTTTGTGGGTGGTCCCTCAACACCATCATGTACAATGCAAGGCAATAAACTCTGCGTTGTACATGGAGGAGGCGAGGATGCAAACCCTGCATTGTATGTGGAGGAGGTGTGGATGTGACCGCAACAAAGTAGTCTCCAGTGCTCCCCTCCTCTCCCTGACTCTTGACCAGGATGTGACCGCAAAGGAGGAGCCTCTGGGGCTCCCCTCCTCTCACTTGAACTGTGTTTTGGGTGGTCCCTCAACACCATCATGTACAATGCAAGGCAATAAACTCTGCATTGTACATAGAGGAGAAGAGCATGCAAACCCTGCATTGTATGTAGAGGAGGCGAGGGTGCAACCGCAACAAAGTAGGCTCCAGTGCGCTCCTCTTCTCCCTGGTGCTTCGGGTTGAGGGTGGTCCCTCAACGCCATGACATACAGTGCAGGACTATTAACACTGCATTGTACATGGAGGAGGTGAGGAAAGCGACTCTGTGGCCAGCAGTGGCTTACAGTGGAGACAATGGCAAACCAGTCACATGAATGGAGGGAGCCTGCTGGAGCGAGGAGCAAGGTAAGTATAACTACTTATCCCTACACCCCTTGCTGTGTGTGTGTGTGGGGGGGGGAGGGGGGGGTTGTGTTGTGCCCAGAGTTGGGATTTAAGAACAGTAAATCGAACATTGGCAATGCTTCCTTTCATTTTCTGTCTTGCATGTGCCATACAGTGTGAGTGCTATCAGTAACATTTTCTTTCCTCTGGTTTTCCCACCTGAGGTCCAGTTTTCTCATTCTACGATATGGGATTGCCGTAACCCAGAGCAACAAACGGCCATTTTTCTGGCAAAGCTTTAAAAATGAAAGTAGGGATCCGATTGGCTATGGGTGGGCAGACTGTGCAGATGTGACGGTCACACAATGTTCCAGGTTGCAAAATGAAGAAGAAAAAATTATAATTCAGGAAAGGCTTCAGCTGCATTAAATATGAGAAACAATAGGCGAGACGGAAATACAAAAAGGTAACGCAGGAAGAGTAGAAGTGAGGAATGTTAACATGTCTGGACAATAAGAAAACACAGTGATAAAACAGGCACTGCGTTATGCCATGCCATTCGAGTCCAAGCCAGACATGGATCAGTGCCACCGGGCCGGCTCACTGTTGTTCTTCAGCCTCTCCGAAGGTTAAATCAATAATGCCGCTTCCTACATAGACGGAGCCCAGCCAGGCCGAGGAGCTCATTAACTACAATGCCGCTCTTAGGACTCTGCCAAGAAGGTAAACAAAGAGCCCCCAACTTTCAACGGTCTTAAAGTGGGACTCCAGCCAAAGTTTTATTTTCCTCATTTTTAATACTTACAATTCTCTGCCAGTTTTGTATCAGTCCAGAAAGAAATGAGTAAAAGACATTAGGATTTCAGGGCTTGTTCAAATGATCCAATGTAAGGAGGTTTTCAAATAAGCGCATGCTGGTTCTGATAGAAAGGTGTCTGAACACACAGAGCATCGCAGTTTGTTGTGTATGGGGCTGAGTAGCCGTTGACCGGTCAGGGTGCTCATGCTGACCCGTGTCCACCACCAAAAGTGCCTACAATGGGCATGTGAGCATCAGAACTGGACCACGGAGCAATGGAAGAAGGTGGCATGGTTGAATGAATCACATTTCCCTTTACATCCTGTGGATGGCCGGGTGCGTGTGTGTCATTTACCTGGGGAAAAGAAGGCACCGAGATGTACTATGGGAAGACGACAAGCCGGTGGAGGCAGTGTGGTGCTGTGGGCAATGTTCTGCTGGGAAGCCTTGGGTCCTGCCATTCGTGTGGATGTTACTTTTGACATGTACCACCGACCTAAACATTGCTGACCAAGTACCCCCCTTCATGGAAACGGTATTCCCTGATGGCAGTGGCCTCTTTCAGCAGGATAATGAGCCCTGCCACACTGCAACAATGGTTGAAGAATGGTTTGAGGAACACAACAATGAGTTCGAGGTGATGACTTGGCCTCCAAATTCTCCAGAGCTCAATCCATGGGAGCATCTGTGGGATGTGCTGGAAGAACGAGTCTGATTCATGGAGGCCGATCACCTCACAACTTACAGGACTTAAAGGATCTGCTACTGACAGCTTGGTGCCAGATATCACATCACACCTTCAGAGGTCTAGTGGAGTCCATGCCTCGAAGGGTCATTGAAAGGGGGACCTACTCAATATTAGGCAGTTGGTCATAATGTTATGGCTGATCGGTGTATATACAGTATAAGTGTTTAAAATTTGATCACACAAAACCAGTCAAAGCATTTAGGAGGCCACAGCATTCCCCCTTCATCTGGGTTTTAGAAAAATCAAATGAGGAAGTGAATGGACAAGAAATTATGACTAAAGGAATCTATATTGGGTCTGCTATGAACACCCCTTATTCCTGCAAAACATACACCAGGGTCAGAGGCTCAGACCATAATCAAAGGGTATTTAGGGTAAACATCTAAAAATAAATCTGTATTTCTATATTGAATTTCCATAAGTTATGTCAACTGGTTGGTTCTGACAAACTTCTGAAACGCCAACATGAGTGTCTGAACCTCTATGTCATTCTCTGTCCTATTAATAAAGGTAATTTAGTCCTATTGACCTTTACTCAACAAATATTCAGTGCCAAATCCGTCCAACAGGATTTTAATTGAACAAAATCACCATTTGCGCAGGGGTCCTGATGACACACAATGTTGATGTAGTGGTGAACAAGCGATAATGAGATTTTGATTTTGTGTGAATTTGCCCCTGGGGTACATGAAACGTTCAGCTATTGTTATGATAAGGGGCCACGCGGCCAACTGGCCGGCTTCACACCTCTCCATTGTACACATAAATCACCCCGGGCTGGAGCCAGAGTAAATGAGTGTGCATTATGTTGGAATGCTGCGAGCTGTGTAATGTGGCCAGGTTCCATATACACCCTCTCTCCCCCCCTACCCTAAAAACAAAGTAGGGGGTGATACAATGGCTGGATTGGTCTGGGCCCTGCCAGGAAGATCTGCAACTGCAGTGGGATTTTCTAGTATGGAAACTGATTTCTTTATTTTCACATACTGGAAATCAACGACTAAAATGTCCTGTATCTTATAGCAACCAACAAATCATACAACCTGAGCATACTGGACCGATAGGTTTGTCCAAGCATGGCGTCCCAATCATAAATAGAAACCAACAAATCATGCAACCAAATGGGACCTTCAATGTGTCAGAGCAGCGTCTTCCAACCTTTTTTCTGTCAGGCCACCCTTTAAAAGTACGCAAAATCTCGAGGCACCCCAGTCTAACATATAATGGATTTAAAGGGGGGGGGGGCATGTAAAAACACAAACAAAAATGCAGGGGCGTAACTAGAAATCACAGGGCCCCATAGCAAAATTTTGTATGGGGACATGTGATTTCTAGTTACGCCCACCTGATATCCCAAGCAACCTACCTGAGAGTGACCCTGCAGAGCCCACCATTGACTCTCTATGGTGGGCTGTGCAGGGTCTCAGATAGACTGGTCAAACCCTCTTACCTGGCAGCCCCGATCGCTCTCCGCCTCCTCCATCGCCGGGCCCTACCTCCTCCATCACTGGACCCCACGTCCTCCTTCGCTGCCGATGCCGGGCAGAGTCTCCTCCACAGCAGCAGCAGCTGGCTGTCACTGACTCAGCAGCGGCTGTGGGGAGGGACGCGCCGCTGCACAGATCACTGACAGGTTGTATGTGATCTGAACAGCGGCACGTTCCTCCTCCTCACAGCCAGCAGCCTGCGATGCCATAGCGACCAAGATGGCCCACACAGCATCAGGGGGACGTCCTGGCCGGGCCCCATAGTGGCCGACTGGGTCACTATGGTGATTGTTCCGCCACTGCAAAAATAAGGTCCCCCCTTCACATAGAAGTCCCTACTTCAGGAGCACATCAGAGTCTCTAACTTTCACATCAGATTACCCCATCAGACTAGGAGTCCCCCTCCTTTTACATCTGAGTCCCCCTTCTCACAATAGGAGCCCCCTCCTTTCATATCAGAGCCCCCCTTCACATCACAAGCTTCACTTCACATCAGGAACCCGTTTACATTAGAAGCTCCTCCTTCACCTCAGGAAGATTTCAAGGCACCCCTGAGGAAGTCAGAAGGCACCCTAGTTGAGAATGGCTGTGCTAGAGTGACAAACCCTTAAAGACAATTGATATCATGAAATATATATTTTTTTAATCATAATCTGTAAAAAAACAAAACATACATACATATATATATATATATATATAAATATATGATAGAAAATTATTTTTAAAAACACGATACAGTATAGATATATTAAGGGTCCACAGACCAATCCGAGATGCATTAAACAAATATTCTCCCTATGCATACCGTCCTTTACCACCACTCCATTCCAAATATACATAGTTTGTTAGTCTAAAAGTATTTCCAGTCCATAAACAGATTCCAGTGGTGGAAAGTGAGCAGCCTTCTCAACACGTTTCATAGACTCACAATCTGCTTCCTCAGGAGACAGAAAGACATTTATCTACACTGCCTGGTCAAAAAAGTCACACACTCGTTGGGCCACCTTTAGCTCTGACTACGGCACACATTCACCGGGGCGTCATTTCGATAAGCTTATACAATGTCACAACATTTCTTTCCAGCCAGAGTTGCATTATTCACCAAGATCTTGTAGTGATGATTGGAGAGTCAGACCTCTGTGTAAAGTCTTCTCCAGCACATCCCAAAGATTCTCAATGGGGTTAAGATCTGGACTCTGTGGTGGCCAATCCATGTGTGACAATGATGCCTCATGCTCCCTGAACCACTCTTTCACAATCTGAGCCCGAGGAATCCCGGCATTGTCATCTTAGAATATGCCCAATGTGCCATCAGGGAAGAACAAATCCATTGATGGGAAAACCTGGTCATTCAGTATATTCAGGTAGGCAGCTGACCTCATTTTTTGGGCTCATGACGTTGCTGGCCCTAGACCTGACCAACTGAGGCAACCCTTATAGCTGTTATCTATTCGCTTAGCTAAATCCAGGTCCAGGCAATGTATACATTTCATATTATAAAAGAAAATAAGAAACAGACCAGGGGTGATTAAATGAATATGGAATTCAGGAGCCGGTCTATCCAATCCAGAAGCCAGCAGGATTGCATGTAGCCGCCTGTACATCCCTATGGTAGGATGCGGCTGCACGCTGACCTGAACCTGCACACTCTGAGTGCAGATGCGGGCACCCCAGACCTACATGGATGTGCAGGTTCAGGTCAGGGCGTAGCTGTGTCCTCATAGGGATGTACAGGAGGCAGCATGCAATCACACGCGGCACCTGTCCCTCCAGGGAGCAGGTCTCTGCACGGGTATGCACGCTGTACAGATGTGCACACTTGTATGAGTGAGGCCTTAATCTCCATTGAATGTAACCTCCTGAAAGAAATGGCTGAAGACTTTTAAGTTACCGGCCTGGAACAAGTGTGCAGGTCAAAAGTTCTAACTTCACATGCTGCAAGCTGGCTCTGGGGTCTCGGCTTGGAAAGTACTAATATTTTCAGAAGGAAATCGGCAATAGCAGCTTAAACATCTCGGGACAAGTAGCTTTTAAACATTCTTCACCAACGTTGCTGCAGGAGAGGAGGCAGCACAAGGCAAACCTTTTACACGCTGCCAAGATGTGGTGTATACCTAACAAACAGACCGCCAGAGCTAACATCAACGCTGTGACTTCACATACGCCAGAAGACAGAGGCCCGGTCTGGAAAATAAATCGTTTATTTCTTATAAAAAAAAGAAATCATTTATGTTCATATTAGAAAAACATCTTTATGTAGAAGAAATGACTTTGTATCACAGGAGTCCATCGTACAGAACATTAATCAAATGTCTTGACATAAGGAAAGCGTCGGCGGCTTGCTTTGCGTTACATCAGCGGGTCCGCAGGGGTTTGGCGTACACCGGCTCTAGAATGTAGTACAGCAGAGACAGGAAGACACTAGCCAGGAAGATGACGCTCATGACAGACAGCAGGACGTAGCGGCCGATGAAGGACGTGTCCACAATCTGTATCAGGAAGAGAACATACAACATATTAACAACCACTTACAAAGCCATCCACAACTCTGCCCCCGGCTACATCTCCAACCTTGTCTCAAAGTATCACCCTAACCGTACACTCCGCTCTTCAAAAGACCTCCTGCTTTCCAGCTCCCTCATCAACTCCTCCCATGCTCGCCTCCAGGACTCTACTAGAGTCTCTCCCATCTTCTGGAACTCCTTACCCCAACCTGTCCCTCTATCTCCCACTCTGACTGCCTTTAGGCGATCCCTTAAGACTCATCTCTTCAGAGAAGCCTATCCCACCTCAACCTAACCACTGAACTATCGCTTTCTCAAACAATTCATCCCCACACAGCTACCTCCTCATGTATCACTTCCCCCTCTCTCTTAGATTGTAAGCCCCCAGGGGCAGGGCCCTCCTTACCATCTTGTCTTGATTTGTATTGTGATTGTAATGTCTTCCCTATATTGTAAAGCGCTGCGCAAACTGTTGGCGCTATATAAATCCTGTATGATAATAATATGCGACGGAAGCAAACTATGAAAAACAGCAAATTAGCGGCTTGTGTACACAGGAATCTTATTCAGAAGCAACTCAAAAAAAGTATGCTTTTAAGGTGCTTCTGAGTTGCTTTGACTTGCTTCTATGTGTGTTGCTCAACCTGTTGCTTTTACATTGGAATGACTGTGTACATCAGCCCTGTAGATGCAAATGTAGCACACAATCATACTACAAGGCTCTGAAAGACGTGGGAAACCTTTTTTTGTTTTATATTATGTTTGGCAGGATACCCGACACAAAAGAAGCGGACCGTGCCCATCCATAGCTTATTAAACATTTTGCAATGTCTCATCTGCAAGTGAAACGCTTATAAGCAGAGTCTTATTCATAAATGTAAGGAAGGGCTTTTTATTCTTGTTGCCCATCACAATCTGATTGTTACTTGCCACAAAAGAAGATGAAATATATGATGGGCTGCTATTGGCAGCAACATTGGGGCTCCCTGCGGATAATTTGAGAAGTACGTCCCAATGTATTTTGAGGATCTAGATCAGAGTTCCTGAAACTCCACCTGCTTGTCGGGCCTAAGAGACTGGAGGAGTATGGCAGCAGGCCAGCATTCAGGTATATTGGCTCCTGTTCAAACCTTTGCTATAAAATTAATGTGAAGGCACCTCAATACAACTCAGACGTAGCTTGGGGTGATCGAAGGCACCTCAATACAACTCAGACGTAGCTTGGGGTGATCGAAGGCACCTCAATACAACTCAGACGTAGCTTGGGGTGATCGAAGGCACCTCAATACAACTCCGACGTAGCTTGGGGTGATCGAAGGCACCTCAATACAACTCAGACGTAGCTTGAGGTGATCAAAGGCCAAATCAATACAACCCAAACACCAGAGAAGAAGCACCTGAAATCATGCTGCATATGACTCCTGAGACTGGAACCTGTCTGCATTAACTACTACAAAGGAACATGGGTCCACCTGTCTAGGAGTAGGGATGAGCTCAAGTTTGGACCGCACCCCCTCTGAACCTGAGCTTCTCTGAACCTGGAAGCTACATGTGGCCACCAGCCCAATCAGCTGAAGTCTAGAGCATTCCCCGCCTCACAGCTGCACATAAATGATGTTACATAGTATTTGGGGTTGAATAAAGACATACGTCCATCAAGTCCAACCCAACTCATTGGCCTTATATGTCCACATGGCCATATTAGGTCAATGTAATTGACCAAATATAACCATGTACCCAGATAAGGTCAATGCATCTCGCCCCTTTGCCTACGTGCAGCTGCAGAGTGGGAATTCCCTGGCTGCGGATGATTGGGCGGCCGCAGTAGAAACATTCTTCCGAGTTCAGAGGGGCTCCTTCCATGTTCAAAGGAGCTCAGATCCAGACCAGGTTCAGTCCAAACCCGAGCTCATCCCTGTCCAGGAGTACTGTGAATCTAGCCCAGCGTGATAAGATGGATAACGCTGAAAAGGTGCAGTGCTGGATCACAGAGCATTGAGTTGGGGGGCTGAAGGGCAGCATCAGATATAAGGTAAGTATTGGAGCCAGGACTGCTTTTTTCTTACACTGCTGGACTACTAGCGAGTTGGGCGTTAAAGCAAATCCATAAGCTAGTTAAAACGTTAAAAAAATAAACGGCCCGCTATCCCCAGTACTAGCCGGAAAAGCCACTTCCCTGAGCCCTTCTGATCCCGGTTTCACTTTAAACATTAGGGATTTGCATTATCTTTCTGACTCATACCTATTTGTATCACTTACTTAATAAACAGGCACAAAGAGATGATACCGCTATATAAATTAACAATGAATAATAATTCTATCCATGATAAAGGTGCCGGGAAACATTTTCTGAGTGTTGAACATTAAAAATGATGTAAGGAACCGTTGACTTTTAAAGCTACAGAACACCCTGGGGGTCCCTTAGCCCATTACCATCTTAGCATGGGAGAAGTATGGAAGCCACCACTGATCATTTGTGTTTAAAACCCAATGACAGTTACTTGTTCTTTGTTTTTGGATAGACTTGGGACGAGCCGGTTTCTATTGCTGCGTGCGCCTCATGGGGGAGATTACACCTCACTGTCTGTCCCTGTGACTGCAGGATGAGAAAGGAGTACAGCCACACACTAGAAGCCCAGACTCGCTCAATGGCTGCTGAAGACCTCAAGTTCTCCGGTGTGTGTCTGCACCAAATCCAAGAAGCAAATTAAAAATGGCAGCTGCTCAGTTCATAACAAAACCCAAGCGCATGTGGGCAGGGAAACACTCAACACAAGCCAATCCAAAAAATGAACAGAAATTGCTGAAGTCAGCAACTAGGAACAATTCATCTTGATAAAAAAAAATGTGGGTAACTTTTCTCCAGGGACAGAAGATGTCCTCTCTCCTAGGACACTAGCAAAAAAAACCAGAGCATGATGGGAGTACAAGAGGTTACACTGGGCTGTCCTTACAGCTTTGCCAGTGTCCAGTCTCCTGAAGGCAGCAGCATAACCCAATGTTCCTGAACACTCTCCTGTGTCCTATAATGGACTAAAAAGGACTTCTTCTGTCCTCACAGGGTACCCTTAGCTGGCCTTCAAGCAGCACTAATAGGGCCACATGAAGCTGCAGTTTTAATTGGCGGGAGTGTATGGTGAGTGTATCTACACATCACACACTAGACCACTGTGGCAGGCAAGACTCAGAAGTGACAGAAACCCCTTAGTCGGTCCCCATACGCACCGAACCACAACTCCTCATCCTGCTATTATCAGTGAAAAGACTGGAAAATTTCCCCGTCAGGCTCAAAATGATTTTAAAAAAAAAAAGGTTTTTGAACAGCAGCCAAATAAAAGTTCCTTTTTTTTCAGCTGGTGGACATGAAACGGAGTGTGAAAACATAAAGGACGATGGTCAGACCAATCCTCCGCCATGGACTGACTCCAGGGAGCTGCCAAACATGCTGCTACAACAAGAAAGGTCAGGATGATGCACCCGCATTAAAGGCTGACCTTGGCTTCCTCGCTGAACGAGTCTCTCGTGGACAGCATGTTTGTCCGCACAAGGCGCTTCGCTTTTTTAATTAGCCAATTAGTGGGCCTTCAGCGTATAAAGCCTGAGTCATGTATTATGGATGGACTATTGAGCCGTGCTGCATGGAGGATGGAAAGGGAGACACAAATCTTATAATTAGTTCTCAGAGAAGTAGTGCCGCGACTAGGTAAATCAGACAGAGTAGCAGTGTCTATATCGCAGCTATTCCTCATACCGTGACCTGTTATCTGGTAGGCGAGGTGGGGGGGGGGATCAGACTCATCTAAAGCTGCCACGTTCCCCATGTGCAGTGCACCACAGGAACAAAGCCCTGTGCCCACAAACCACTCCGCACAGTCACTGAACATTCCCTATCAATGCGAGTGTTCTGTATTGTACAGGAAGCACAACACCCCCTCCCCCGAATGTTAGAAGGGAAATATTGTCTTTTTAATGCATTTTATTAAGTAGGGATGTGGACAGTCAGCTCCTGGGACAAGCTTGTTTGGGGTTCATGTTTGGATGTGGACAGTCAGCTCTTGGGACGAGCTTATTTTGGGTCTCAAGCTGGGATGTGAACAGTCAGCTCTTGGGACAAGCTTGTTTTGGGTCTCAAGCTGGGATGTAAACAGTCAGCTCCTGGGACAAGCTTGTTTAGGTTTCCAGTAGGGATGTGAACAGTCAGCTCTTGGGACGAGTGTGTTTGGGTTTCCAGTAGGGATGTGAACAGTCAGCTCTTGGGACGAGTGTGTTTGGGTTTCCAGTAGGGATGTGAACAGTCAGCTCTTGGGACGAGTGTGTTTGGGTTTCATGTAGGGATGTGAACAGTCAGCTCTTGGGACAAGCTTGTTTGGGTTTCAAGTAGGGATGTGAACAGTCAGCTCTTGGGACGAGTGTGTTTGGGTTTCATGTAGGGATGTGAACAGTCAGCTCTTGGGACGAGTGTGTTTGGGTTTCAAGTAGGGATGTGAACAGTCAGCTCTTGGGACGAGTGTGTTTGGGTTTCCAGTAGGGATGTGAACAGTCAGCTCTTGGGACGAGTGTGTTTGGGTTTCATGTAGGGATGTGAACAGTCAGCTCTTGGGACGAGTGTGTTTGGGTTTCATGTAGGGATGTGAACAGTCAGCTCTTGGGACAAGTGTGTTTGGGTTTCATGTAGGGATGTGAACAGTCAGCTCTTGGGACGAGTGTGTTTGGGTTTCATGTAGGGATGTAGAGAGTGCACAAGTTTCCTTTCAGTATTAATAACATTGTATTGTGGGTAATCGGTTATCAGGGACTCAGTCGTTGCCCGCACTCCACTCAACAAGATACCTGAAACTCCTTTTCTGGGGTGGAAGTCTCACTCGCTCGGGGGAAGAAGACCAGAATAAGAGTGACGATCACGGCCAGGATGAAGAATACAATACTCAGGATTCTGGAAAACAGGAGCAAAGGTGAATGGAGAGAACTATTCACACGTGTTTAATGATGAAAGATACACACACAGTACCGGTATATATCACCATTGCCCCCGTCACATACACAACATTCTCCTCTATGAGTTCTACATCCGTGTCTTTTATTCATCAATTCTCTCTTTATGTCTACACACGTTGGGGCCAGTCTGTGGCCATTTGGTATTTATTGTGCAGGCCCTAGCATGTCTGCAGTCTCTGACCATCTCCTCCAGCATGTCTGCAGTCTCTGACCATCTCCTCCAGAATGTCTGCAGTCTCTGACCATCTCCTCCAGAATGTCTGCAGTCTCTGATCATCTCCTCCAGCATGTCTGCAGTCTCTGATCATCTCCTCCAGCATGTCTGCAGTCTCTGGTCATCTCCTGCAGCACATCTGCAGTCTGGTAAAGTGGAGACTATATTTGAACACAAGGCCGTACAGTGTTAAGGAGACCTGCGATGACAGACGTACACAGAAGGTTTCTGCCCCTTAGAAATAGAAGACACGTGGGAGCTGATCACAGAACACACAGGGATCAGGGAATGCTCTTACCGTGCCGCCCCAGATGTGCGGGATAAGAGGACACACAACAGCAGGGTGACAACCCAGATGACCGAGATGACAAATACTCCCGTGCCTACGCCGAGAACCGTGGTCGCCATTCTGCAAGAAGGAAAGGAAAACGCATTGTGTGTGGTGGGTGTCAGTGGTAACAATGTCCCTGATGGCGGACGCATGGCATGCTGTATATGTTATACTCATATAACGGAACATCAGTTTCAGTCAACATTTCAGCTTATATGATTTCCTCAGCACCATGAACTCAGATACAGGACAGTTCATTCGGTCTGCACCCCCCCGGTCCTGCGTAGCACGCCTTTGGCTGGTGTCAGAGGGGCACGCTTCCAACACCCTGCTAGGGGCTCCGTGGTCCTGCCACTACCCCATGAATGAAAGCTTTTTCTGCTCCTGAGCGGAATATCAGAGCTTGCCATAAAGGAAGTCTGTGTTGGGAGAGATACACAGGCAGCGATTCCTGACCCCCCTCCTGAAAATGCCGCTTGTCCCACGATCATGTGTACGTAATGCTTTCGGAGTCCCTGACCTGGAATACCTGTACTGACTTCACATGCTGCATTCTTGTTCTGGGCAAGTGACAAAGTACTGAAGCCAGAGGATCAGCGTGACAAACAGGCGACCAGCATCTTCACAAGTCAGTCCACATAGTAATAACATTCACTTCTGCCTCTATTCGCACAGAATGAACGTTCAGTGATCGGCAGGGCGAACTGCTCTGTGAATTGTTTTTAAATGGGTTTTCAAAAATTCAGTTTTGAAGCTTTGGGCGGGTTTGGTTGAAGCTTTTCAAGCACCCTTCAGTTGCAGTTTGGGAAGGCTGGACACAGATCCTAATGGGAGTGCCGACTGTCAGCTAGCAGGCTCCCAACAAGCTTCAAGTTGTGCTGAACCTTACAGAAGCCTGCCAGCAGCTTGTCTAAAGTGACAGTCGGCACTCCCATTAGGATCTGTGTCCAGCCTTCCCAAACTGCAACAGCAAAAGCAAACGTTCTTAGTACATGTAGACTGCCACAGCAGACTGCTTTGTAAAGATGCCATTCGCCTGTTCATCATGCTGATCTTTTGGCTTCAGAAGCTTGAGTCATCCACCAAGAACAAGAATGCAGCATGTGAAGTCAGTCAGAACACTTGATCAGCGCAGCTATTTCGGGTCATCGACTCCATTCTAAGTATAGTCTCCTTTCAGGTCGAATGTAATGTAATACTGCATTACAGCCACCAGATGGCATAGGAAATCAATACATGCATTGTTACCCTGCTACCTGTGTCCCAGTAGAGACTACAAGCGGTCAACGGTCCAATGTTGTCACCAGCAGGAAGCCTGTTCTGAGAACTGACATGCAGACGTTGCTGGAGTGCATATAGACAGGAAGTGGCTTCAGGAGACCAGTAGTGCTGATACAAAGGAATGGAAAGTGGGAGCACAATCCTATTTTGTTTCAGAAGTGACTGGCGATACATTTCCTGCGTTATCACCAGATTGTGAACGGAATGAGAATGTAGAGGAAGATACAGAGACAGCAAGGTACGTTATTCCCTCTAAACTGTGTGAGCTGCCCTGTGATCACACCTCCATCAATGGCCGATTCATCTATTCACATCCTCAGCGTGCGGCAGACGGGGGAACCTGCCATGTAGAAGGGGAGAACACATATCAGCTGGTAGTGACGGATCAGACACAACAGAACAGGAACACATAGGAGATATAGAACCAGGCGAAGGCTACATGTTGGTGTATACAGGGCCTGGAATGTATATACAGCAGAAGGGGGGACTAGTGTATACAGGGCCTGGAATGTATATACAGCAGAAGGGGGGACTAGTGTATACAGGGCCTGGAATGTATATACAGCAGAAGGGGGGACTAGTGTATACAGGGCCTGGAATGTATATACAGCAGAAGGGGGACTATTGTATACATGGCCTGGAATTTATATATAGTGTATATGTTGTGTGGCTGGACTAATGTACCCAACATATGGACTCATATACCCCTTCACCAAGCCAGCAGTTGCTATTTGACCCCACAGCCTTCATTATACCCACTCAGGCCAACCAGTACCAACCTGGTCACCCAGTGTCTTCATAGTACCCGCCCAGGGCCAACAAGCACCAATCTATGCCCTTGGTGCATGCATAATACTCCTTGCAGAAAATCTTTGACCCCCAGTGCCTTTATTATGCCCCTCCTTGGGCCCAACTGTACCAATATGTGTCTCCAACAACTTCATTATACCCACCTTGGGCCAATCTATGACCCTGAGCCGTCATAATTCCTCCTCCCAGCCAATCTATGACCCAATCACCGTCATAATACCCCCTATGGCCGATCTAGGAGCCCAGCACCTTCATAATACCCCTATGGCCGATCTATGAGCCCATCGCCTTCATAATACCCCCTATGGCCGATCTATGAGCCCAGCACCTTCATATTACCCCCTATGGCCGATCTAGGAGTCCAGCACCTTCATAATAACCCCTATGGCCGATCTATGAGCCTATCGCCTTCATAATACCCCCTATGGCCGATCTATGAGCCCAGCACCTTCATAATAACCCCTATGGCTGATCTATGAGCCCATCGCCTTCATAAATCCCCCTATGGCCGATCTATGAGCGCAGATTCTTCATAAATAAACCTTTTGGCCCACCAGCAACAACCTGTGACCCCCATCTCCTTCATATTACCCCCTCTGAGCCCAGCTCCCCTCCCCCCCACATCACCTTGTGTAGTCTGGTAGGACCGATACTATCCGGTTGGCCCGGCTAAAAGACCTCCATGCCAGTCCCGATCGCCACACGTCGCAGCCGACAACGCAATCCAACCAATCAGCCCTCAGTATACAGTATCCTCTAGGCAGCTGCGCCAATCGCAGCCTCCCTCTTATCACACGCTCTCTCACTGATTGGCTGAAACGCGTTACCTAGCAACAGCCTGGCGTAGCGTCCCCTACAGTAAGCTTTCCGCTCTCGCTGCACCCAGGCGATCTATGATTTCCTCTGGGGGTGACCCCGACCGGGAGATGACCGATTTCCGGTGTCCCATCAATACATTCCACATCCAGCATGGGTGTGAGCTCATATAATGACATAATAACAATATGATAATGTAATAAAATAAAAACCATCACATACACGGTGCACATTAGAACATAATGTGGATGATATTAATAATTCTAATGATGATAGGGAAATTGTTAAAGAAACCTTTGTGAGATGCATCTGATGGAAGCGTCAGTTCTGATTCACAGGATGCAACATGTATACATGTGGGAATGGCAGCTTCAATCTGAGACTTCTCACACTTGTACAGGGATGTCTGCATGGAATGGTAGAATACAGAATGCCAAGAAACAGTTCACAATGGGAAATCACAGGAAATGTCCCTTTTCTAACTATCCAGGTACCATCCTGTGGGAGGTCAATGAGCCGCAGCTCAAGCAAACCCATTTCGACCTCTGTAGGGTTCTACAATGGCTGCTGCAAGCTGTCAGTGTCACCCTACATTGGATGACTGCTCTCTGACCTGTGGGGTCCCTTTAAGACATCATAGTTTTTTGGGGGCTTTCTACAGCCAATCAGACTCCAGCTGTGGCCCTATTTTTTTCCCTTTTGCTCCTGACATCTTAATTTGACGCAGATGTGTGTGGCTTCGCCTACACAGCCGCGTCATCCATTCACAGATCCTTTGACATTATCTGTGAATGGAGAGACTACAAGTCCCATGGAGTGGCATCGCAAGTGGGGTGCGGCCCACACCAGGTGACACCTTGAGGGCTAGTTCACACCAGCGGCATCCCTGAGGCCGGGTGTTACCCGGTCTCCAGACCAGGTGACCCCCCCCCCCACCCCCCCCCCGCGC